GGAGCTGTTAGATTAACATTAACATGCTTATTGTAGTTCTAAGTTCAATGCCTTGCGGCCTGAAGCACCATCCTTGATGGAGCATATGTGTGGGCTGGACCTGTATTTAACAGGAGGAGTGAGCAGAGAGTAGTTGTCAATTCTTATTCTTGTTCTGTGACTATCTGCTTCACCCTCTCAGACTTTCAGTTGCGCGCGCTACTAAAGAGACGTGTTACCATGGAAACCAAACAATGGTGTAGTTGTATTAAAGTCCGAGTGGAAACAGTCCTGAGTAAATCTGATTTTGTCAGAAATCGGGAGAAATGCGGGAGAAATATGACCCCGGGAGGAAACCGGGAGAGGGCAATGAAATCGGGAGTCTCCCGCGAAAATCGGGAGGGTTGACAAGTATGAGTAGATAGGTGAACCAAAGGACTCGAGCTGCACGGTAGACATGACTTTTGTCTCTGAGATTATCCCTGTGTTATTTCAAGCAATGATTTGTTTTGGCCCTTGCTCTGGCATGTACGGGCTAAAACAGCAATGCTTCAATTGGTCTGTCAGGAAGGTTTTAACAGCACGGCAGCTTGTGTTGATGATAGCATCACCTGGGGAATGTCATCTAGACAGAAATAAATGATTCATTGTCATTGACTCGTATGCATGCTGCTTTCATCTTTATTACAGTACCATGAGAGCTTACAGTGTTCCCTTTGTCCCACAGAGGAGTCTTGAAGGTCTCTCTTATTGCTTGGCTTTACTTCATCTAGCTGTGGAGAGTAATCATGTTAATGTTAATTACTTCAAACGGTTTTACACTGGAATATACAGTACACCAATACAAGCAGTCATTTTCAGGGAAGCAGTATTTCCTCTGGGGAAGAATACGAGTTGCAGAGGCGATTTGTTCTCTCTGCTTCCCACACAGCTAAATGATCAGTCTGCAGTTTGCTTTGGTAAACAACATTGCCGGTACAAATGAACAGCTACATGGTTGAATGGTTAAGTCTAGATTTCGGTTCCTCTCCTCACACCCTTTCCTTTTACCACCACTTTGGCCAGGTTTCGGCTGGACATCTACCGCTGCCTGGCCAGCCCCTCTCTGATCATGCTGACTGAAGAAGACCCCATTCTCAGGGCCTTTGAGCTGAGTGCAGACCTCCGGGAGCTCAGCCTGGTCGAAGTGGAGTTTAGGTATGAGATCTGTACATCATGTCAGTGCACGTTGCATCTGATTCCCCTGCACATAATGCCTCTTAAACATGCGTGCAAACATGAAGACATTCTTTTATAGCATACAGATAGGATTTATATTCTGATTGTATCTTTATTTTTCGCTGCTCCAGGAATGATTATGAAGAACTGGCGAAGCAGTGTAAGATGTTTGCCAAGGATCTGCTGGCCCAGGCTCGAAATTCTCGAGAGCTGGAAGTTATTCTCAACCACACGTCCAACGAGGATCAGGTCGACAAGAGAGGCTTACTGGAGGAGAGAATGAACCTCAGTCGACTCAAGCTCGCCATCAAGTACAACCAGAAAGAGGTTAGACATGTGCTGTCGACGTAACATCTGTTGCAGCACACCACGAGCCTGTCTTTGGAAATATATGAGTTTGACAGGATAAATGAGTTCAGGCAAAGACAGTCAGACTGATGTTGGACGTTTGAAGCTTGGGGGAGATTTACAGCTCAGTGAGAAACTCATTTATCACAGCAGAGCTAGTGGCGTACCATTCGTATCCGACTGAAGAAAACACATTTCTAAGGCTCTTCTTAAGATGAAAGAACTACGACATAAACGTTTCTCTCTTTATGGTTTGTGGTTTTTATCACAGGGAGAGATGTTTATATGAGACTCGTTTTAAAATATGCTGGAAGGCATATTACGTTACCATCAGAGAGAGCCAAGACTGCGGTTTATTGTCCTGTCTTTCGCTAAGCTAAGCTAACTGGCTGCAGCTTTAAAGCTCAAGACACAATTGAATGGCAGCAAATCTCTAATTGAACCATATCTATATGAACAGATATCTTCATATCTACATTACTGCATCTCAATCAATCAATCAATCAATCAATCAATCAATCAATCAATCAATGTTTATTTATATAGCCCAATATCACAAATGTTACATTTGTCTCAGTGGACTTCACAGTTTGTACAGAATATCAGTACGACAATACGATACCCTCTGTCCTTAGACCCTCTGTCCTTAGACCCTCTGTCCTTAGACCCTCTGTCCTTAGACCCTCACATCGTACAAGACAAAACCCACAGTTTAAAGGGGAGCATGGGAGAAACCTCAGGGAGAGGAACAGAGGAGGGATCCCTCTCCCAGGCCGTGTGTAAATTGAAAAGATAATACATTTGCAACATAGGTAGACCAAATGTTTGGAAATGCATGTGTGTATAATAGGAAGATGAATCCACGAGGATATCCATCCAGGACTTATGATCCAGGACCACAGCCACGACTCAAGATCCAGGACTCGCAATCCATGACACAGGACCGCAGGATCATCCATGACTCCGGATCCCGGCGTATATAGACACCAAAAAGAAAGACATTTGGGGAAGCTGGGTTAATCGGAACATGAGAGTACACAGGTTCAGACAGAGAGAAGGAAGAAGTAAGATGTCCCCCGACAAACTAAGCCTATATCAGCAAAACTAGGGGCTGAATCTAATCAGCCCTAACTATAAGCTTTATCAAAAAGGAAGGTCTTAAGCGCACTCTTAAAAACGGATAGGGTGTCTGCCGCCCGAACACAAACTGGAAGCTGATTCCACAAAAGTGGAGCTTGATAAGAAATCCACACATCTGATATCACCATCTGTAGGCAACAGGATAAAGAAAAGGAAGTCTTGGCATCAGTATCCATCTGGATATCCGCTGGTTACACCGGAAAGACTGACTGTTTTAATCTTTGTTAAAACTTAAAGTTGACTGGTTGAAAAGCATGAGCTCATATGACCTTAAAATGAACTGAATTTGCTCGTTAAAGAAGCTCTACTCTGCGTATTGGGGTTTTCCCTCTCCTGGATGTAAACGGTCTGCAAGGGCTAAAACCCAAAGTGCCTCTCCCTACATACTAATATATGAACCTGGACATTAGCAGATTAAATCCTCTTAAAGCTGTAATATTTCACGCCTCATCTCCCCACATTGACACCTTCTCTCTCTCTCTCAGTTTGTGGCTCAGTCCAACTGTCAGCAGTTCCTCAACACCGTCTGGTTTGGAGAGACGGCGAGTTACCGGCGCAAACACACGTGTCTGAAGATGGCCACGGTGCTGAGCGTGGCCATGCTGTGGCCTCTGCTCTCCGTCTGCTACCTTCTGGTGCCGCGCTCTCGCGTCGGACAGATCATCCACACGCCCTTCGTCAAGTTCATCATCCACAGCGCCTCGTACTTCTCCTTCCTGCTGCTGCTCAACCTGTACTCGCTGGTCTACAACGAGGGCAAGAAGAACACCATGGGCCCCGCGCTGGAGATGATAGACTTCCTGCTCATCCTCTGGATCATAGGTGAGTGTTTCACTCCCCGTATCATGTATGTTGCAATCATAATGTGTATTTTAGTGCTTAGCGGATATTTCTATAATAGAATAATCTCATAATGGACACCATGGGAGTATGAACAGCGCGAGAATTCAATTTTACACACCGGGATTTAATACAATAGCCGTGTTTGGTGTAGTGAAAATGAGAGATTCCTGTAATGGCCTGGCTAAAGTCCAGCATCCTGTATCTATAATCCTATTAGGCGAAACATGACAAACAGCTGTTTCTATACTAAACGACAGGAAGCCGGGCCTGACTGGATTAAATCTGTCAGTCCTTCTTCTAATTGAGCTCTATAGAAAAAGGAAAGCTTCTTCCTTCTCCCCTGTGGTCCTCACTGAGTGCTGGTATCACTATACTCGGCACATGCACAAACATGTACATGCACAAACATGTACACAATATTTGAGGCTGGATAGTGACAGTTAGAAATGGACTCTCCTCGGGGAAGAGCATCTCCACCTTCCTCTTCTGCCAAGAAACCATTAGCATGATCATTTAATCGCTCTAATGGCCCTCTCTTCTCAGCACACATTTCTCTTTCATGGCGGCAGCATCCTCCTCCTCTCCACCAAACACAAAGCATCACATCTCATTGTTCTTGGTTTCATCGTCGCTGCGTTGATAAATCATCCCAATAACTGCACCTGAGAGGTTATAAAAGCATTCATTGACTTCTATTATTCAATGCTGTGAAGATGTTGGTGGTGCAATTTGCAATTTATTCTGTATATTGCAGGAGTGAGATCAGTAGCTGAGTCATTAGAGCTGTGTAATGGCTTTTTCCATGGGCTAAGATAGCCCACTAGAGGGGGGGATATGCCTTAAGTACTGCAGAGGAGCAACATCAAAGATCAATTTAAATAGCAGTATCTTCCCCTCATTGCAAAACAGCTACACTGCAACGACGGGATGCAGTGGTGCAGACTTAACGCCTCAGGCTCTCTGCAGCATCAAAACACCCGAGAGGGGTTAAATAATAAGAATGAGACTTCTAATGATTTACAAATCAAATGAAAATGTTACCAGGGTGTGGAAGGGAGCTATTAAAGCTTCCACACGTCTACAGACGGCACTGACAAGTCGCACAGCAGCTCTCCATTTTCATATTGTTCTCTCTTTCTCCCACGCCAACCCCCCTCCCGCTTACTCTCATCTTTCTCCCACTATTCCCCGAAGCCAGATGCCTCACATTAATGGGGAAATCAGATGCTGAGACTGTGGGCTTGTGTGTGGGCTGTGTGTTATTGTTTGTGTGTGTGTGTGTGTGTGTGTGTGTGTGTGTGTGTGTGTGTGTGTGTGTGTGTGTGTGTGTGTGTGTGTGTGTGTGTCACTGCATCTCTCGCCGAGTGTGTGTACAAATCCAATCATTCCACAGTGAAATGCATGATAGACTAAAAACCAGACAAAATGAATTTATTCAGGGACAGAAAATAAAATAAGGTCTGAAACAAAACCTACTTTTGTGAAAAACCCTCCCACCTTTTTTTTGTTGTTGAAACCAATAAGAGATCAGTCGGGAAATGTCATGGCAGAGAGATTGTGTCACTTTGCCTCGCCTTGCAGCTAGAGTCCTAATTTCATTATCCCCACTGTACATTAAGAATTTATGAAAGTGCACTCGGACACAGACAGACACCCATATTACATTCCCACATTTTTACAATTTCTAGGTCTCATACATTCCTGTTTCCCCTGGACTCCCGCTGTGAGATGACTTATGGTCGAAGCATGTTAAAATGTTCGGTGATGACAGGCCCTTTTTTCCAGCCCATATGTTAGTGTCTGTGTGTGTGTGTGTGTGTGTGTGGGATGACGGGGAATTTCTGCTCTCCCGTAGGGATGGTGTGGTCGGATGTGAAGCGGTTGTGGTACCAAGGGCTGGAAGACTTTCTGGAAGAGTCTAGAAACCAGCTGAGCTTCGTGATGAACTCCCTTTACCTCGCCACCTTTGCCCTGAAGATAGTCGCTCATAGCAAGGTACATGCACATCACAAACACATGTTAGATCTAGAAGATGATCACTATTAAACACTGGATTCATTAGGGTCTGTTTTAATATACAGCTAGCAAGCACTTAGACTCAAAGATGGGGAAACAGCTAGCCTGGCTATGCTCATTATTAACACTAATTAATCATATTTCATTTGTTTAATACACACAATGAACTGAAGAAAAAAGTTTCAGCTTCAGGCTAGCTGTTTCCATCTGTTTCCAGTCTTTGTGCTAAGCTAGGCTAACCGTTGTCTGGATGTAGCCTTACGGATACAATCAATAGTGTCACTGACTGAATACGTATTTTTTCCAAATTGTTGGGTTAATTCTGTAATTGCAGTTGCATTTTTCAGATGTATTCACTCGAGGGAACCAGTCTGATTTGTTTCTGTTTAACTGTCAATCGTGTTGTTCCAACCCAGTCTCACGGCATTTCGTGTTATAGTAACGAAATTAAAGTAATCTATTGATTCGTGTTCACCAGCACGATTTTCGCATTTTTTTCGTCTCACACAGCACAATTTTAAAAGCAATGCATTTCTATTGGTAGCATGTTTCGTGTGCACCACGTCTTTTTGTCCGGTCGGGTCTTGGAAGACCAGAAGCTGTGTGGTTCATAAAAACATGTTCTTATTCAATATCTCACCCTAAGCCTAACCCTATCCCTTTTATTTTAAATTGTATAATGTTGGAGTTTTTTTGCCGTCCGCGAGGAAAATAAATGGCTCAGAGCCTCAGAATACTGACATCTGTATTTTTTGTCATCTTTTTTTTCTTCTAATTTGTTATTATTTACATTGCTTTTAAAATCGTTTAAAATGTGTGACACGAAAA